TAAGTTCATTTTCTTTCTTTTGTTTATAATCACCAGCATCAAAAAGACTACATTATATTCCATTTTATTTGTCCTTTTGTTTTACATGTCGTTCCATTTTTATTTGAGTTGAGGACACTTTTGAAGGCGCTGCTTCCCTGAATTCCCTTTCTTTATCTACCAGTCAATGCCTGATTCCAGATCTTTTGGGCTGTTCTTTCCACAAAGAGGCCAACCATGGAGAGCTATGCACAGGTTGCCCTAATAATGAGTCCTTACTTAACACACCTTGCTACCCAGTATCCTGTAGGGTAAAGACGCAAGTATTTTTTCCACAATTGGTAAACTGTCTGTTGACTGATGCTTGGGTGTTGCAAACTTTACAGGGTTATCTGGTAAAATGTAAGTAAACCCAAGTCCAATTTTCTATACCCCTTGTGATTTCTCTGCAGCATGCCTGACTCATAGACACTGACCATTCGAAGTTAAGAGACATTGTTGCCTACAACCTACTCCCCCCAGATCCATGGGTTTCAAAAGCAACATGTTTCTGGTCCGGAAGAAATGTGGCCAGATGCAGCTGGTCATCAAGTTCCATTCCTTAAAAGGAAATGTACGCTACCGGCACTTCAAGATGTAGGAGCTTCACTTTCTTCTAAATCTTTTACCCTCCCAGGATTGGATGGGGTAGTTGGATTTAAAATAGGTGTATCTCACCATTCCCATCACACCCTCTTCGAGAAACTTCCTTTCCATTCCTCTGAGCCAGTGAGCTTTGGCGTTTCATGTGCCTACTGTTTCGTCATTCATCAGCCCCTTGGTGCGTTGCCAAGCTACAGTTTCAATTTAAGTGAATCTATGAATTGCAATTTAACTGTTAATTTGCAGCTTACCGCATAACCGTAACTGTGGATGGTTGCTGCATGGGCTTGAAATCATTTTTCTGACATCTATCCTTTCATACTTTTAGTCAGCACTTTTCATAAAAAAAATATGGTTGTCCAGTAAAAAATGGTGGGTTTTCTTCTGTATGATAGGGTGGTAGATTTGACTCTAAAGAAAGGTGTGCAAGTATGATATTAGCATTAATCCAAATTAATTTACAAACTAACCAGTGCTAGGACACAATGGCTGCATAACACATATTCTGATCATTTGGACTTATCTCACATATTGTTACTATTGCACATCCTCTAAAGCAGGCTTCCACAAAATCCGGCCCTCAAGATGTTGCTGAACTACACCTCCCACGATTCTCAGCCTATCTATTTCATTCATAGAATCATGGGAGTTGTAGTTCAGCAACATCTGGAGGGCCGGATTTTGCGGAAGCCTGCTTTAGAGGGTGTGCAGTAGTAACAATATGTAACATAAGTCCAAATGATCAGAATATGCATCAGTGGCGGATCCAGAGCCTGATCTCGGGAGGGGCACTTGTAGATTATTTAAAGAAATAATCCAGACACAATAACCACTACAGCTCAGTGTAGTGGTTATGGTGTCAATAGTGCCGGGACCCCCTCCCACAGTAAGTAGTCAAACCGTTTAAGAACAGTTTGACAACTTACCTGAGATCTGCTGGGAAATGGGGCTGTAGTAGGGCATAGGAGCAGTGGTGTGTGTGAGTGGTGCAATGTGTAAGTGGTGCAGTGTGTGTTTGAAGGTTGTAGTGTGTGAGTGAGGGCAGCAGTGTATGTCAGGGATGCAGTGTATGTGTGGGACAGTATGTGTGTGTAACAGTTGCATGTGTGTGTGTGTGTATGAGGGGGCAGTGTGTGTGTATGGGGGGCAGTTGTGTGTATGTATGTGTGTAGGCAGTTTGTGTGTATGGGAGGCAGTGTGTGTGTATGTGGGGGCAGTATGTGTGTATGTGGGGGCAGTTTGTGTGTATGGCAGTTTGTGTGTGCAGGTGTTGTGTGTGAGTATGGGGGGCAGTGTGTGTGTGTGTGTATGTGGGGCAGTATGTGTGTATGGGGCGGCTGTGAATGGGGCTAGTATGTGTGTATGGGGGTATGTGTGTGGGGCAGTATGTGTGTATGGGGCAGGTATGTGTATGGGGGAGCAGTATGTGTGTATGTGGGGGGGCAAGTGCGGTGTATGTGGGGGGCAGTGCGTGGTGTATGTGGGGCAGTGCGTGTGTATGGGGGCAGTTTGTGTGAATGGGGGGGTAGTTTGTGTGAATGGGGGGGTAGTTTGTGTGTATAGGGGGCAGTTTGTATGAATGGGGGGGCAGTATTGGGGGCAATGTATGTGTCTGTGGCTTTTTTTTTAATAATATATTTATTTATTTTTATTATTATTTAATTATTTATCCAAAATATGTCCCCCCTCCCTTCTTACCTTTACTGGGGAGGAGGGGGGACATATTTCGATCCCTGGTGGTCCGGTGGGGGATTCATTGGTGGTCCAGTGTGGAGAGTGAACTCTAGCCCGCGCTCCCGGGCTAGAGTTCACTCTCGCGAGATTTGGAGCGTTGCCGTGGTAACCGCGGCAACGCTTCAGATCTCACGAGAGGAGGACCCGGAGGAGCTGCAGACTGAGCTCCGGGTCCTCTCTCTCACACCCTCCCTCCCCTGCCGGCTCTCAGCACAGTGCCTGCCATGCTGGCAGGGGAGGGAGAGGGAGACCGGTGGATTTCTCGGGGGCGGCAATTGCCCCGTTGCCCTCCCCCTGGATCCGCCACTGATATGCGTTGAGGAAACCTGCTCTAAAGCGTCCCATTAAGAAATGTTTATTTTGGATTTGACCTGCTGTTTTTTTTGGTAAATGCGGATTTAAAATATAATAGTACATTCAGTATTCCATTTAATCAAATATTTCACATGAGTGTTTGATGAGTTAACAAACTATTAGCTCAGTTTTCGCAGCAGAGATCAATATCTGTTAATCATTGATCAATTAGGTCACGTCTTCCTTCAAACATGACATGTTTCTGGATTAAGAAGAACTTGTTAGAGATATTCAGAAGCTTTTCATTCTTTAGAAGGGGATATTATTATAACAGGGTCATGAGTTTGTGAATATTTTGCCCCTTAAACCAATAACTTTTATTAATCAAATGTTATAGATTTTTATTTAATTTCACCAGTTTACCATAGTGCTTTAAGTAGAACTGAGTAGGTTTAGAGGCAAATTCACATTGTATACGTGTGATATATTCAATCACATGGCATTCCATCACCGTCTTTGAGGCATTCTACAGTAAAAAGAGCCCACTATAATTATTAATCTCCATTAACTTTTCCACATTTTGTAGAACAAAAACTGGGAATTAATTTGGATTGGATTGAGATTTTTATCTTTTCAGTTATACAACATACCTGACACCAAGAAGGTGTAAACTATTTTTACAGAGACCCAAAGTTAATTAAACAAAAAAGCATCTGTTGGTTGCATCAGTATACACGTCCATTTCTATTACACCCATAAAATGTTCTGGAGGAACCTGTTGTCTTCAGAATGCATATATTTAGTTGAATGGAGTCCACCGGTTTGCAATTAAAAAAAACATGAAAGCGCATATAAAATAGTCCTATTTCCAGAATGCTCCAGTCCATTTTTCCCTGAAATTCCAACATAGTCAAAAGACAAAGTGGGATCTGTCTATGGAGGATCATGCTGTCTCGCGGGATTCTCCATAGGCCTCGATGCTGTACTCTCACGCATGTCAGCAGTGACATTGGGTCTTGGTGCTGAAGTGGACCCACCGGAGGGAGATATCAGTGCCCGCCAGGGACAGATTTATGTAAGCAAAAGTCACCTTTACCTGCTACCCACACCCAGCCACCGGATATCCTTAGAAGCCCTCAGTAGAGGAATCGCCATATAGTGTAAGCAACTCCCTATATTTTTAATGACACAGGTCAGTTTATAGAGTCTGGCAAGGTTTGAACCAGTTTTTGTGTGTTCATTGACAACTGCTTGATTATTGTAAATAACTTATTTCTTAAAAAACAATTCTTAAAACTCTGCCTTTGGTCGTAGTAACCCTTTCTGTAGTAGTCCTGTGTTAGTCCCTCAATGTAAAAAAATAAATTGTTTCAATGCTTGTAACCCCTTAAGGACCAAACTTCTGGAATAAAAGGGAATCGTGACATGTCACACATGTCATGTGTCCTTAAGGGTTTAAACTTACCCTTTTGCAGCATCGAGGCCACGTTCTCCCAATCTTTCTCTGCTAACATCATACCCCTTGGTAAGAGGCCATACATGTAGGACATACTGAGAAAAAGAAGTGCTGCGATTGGCTGTCTGGGCCAGAGTGCTGGCATCAGACTCCAATTGTTCACAGAATTGATACTGGCTATTCCTGAATTTTGTTCTGGGCTGGCTAGTGACACTGGCAGAGATGGAATTACACTTGGATTAACTGCGCAAAGCCAAAAACTGCACATAGAGACTCCAGGCACTATGACCACTTCAAATCCCTAAAATGGTTGTGTTGTTTGGAGTAAGCTTTTAAGGCCTTTACAGCAGCACCACAGTAAAGAAATGCAAATTGTGCCCTCAATTCTATATTATTCTCCTTAAATTTAAATCCCCTCATCATTTATATGCAAGAGTGAACAACATCTAAAGTATTTAACATGAGTTGTTTTCTTGGCATGTTTTGCATTCTATAATGATAGGTGCAAGAAAAACAAAACCAAGAAGGAAATGGCTTAAATGGAGGTTGATTCTATTCTCTTGTGATGGGCCAACAATAAAAGAATTACCAGATTGTCTTTGGGCACTTCCAGCATAAATTAGAGTGAGGATAACAAACAAAGATTGAAAAGATCTCAGCAGAGCATGACCAATTCTTTAAAATCCTCACTTGGAGCAATGCCTGAAGAATTTTAAGATAATGAATGGGAATTTCCCTCTGAATCTCCTTCCTTAAGATTAAAAGGGTTAAGCTCTCCCAACCCAGAGACTGTAGACATTTAGGTCATAGAAAACAAGCTCTATTTGTGCCAAAAATCTGTGCTTTTCTGTGGAGATCAGTCAGTGGGAGTAGGGTGAGAGGGAAAAGAGGTGGAGGACTATTGTGAAAGAGTATTAGGTAAACATTGAAGGGGAAAAAATTGCCTACTCAGCTTTGCTGGTTCTCTATATAAAGGCAGAAAAGGATGCTAACAGCCTCCACAGACTGAGTACTGCTGATTTTTGAGGAACTTCAGCCCCAGAGACGAGGGAGATGGCTTCTTCTCTCCGAGTGGCTCTGTGCCTTAGCCTAGTAGGTAAGTGGCAACCAATGTCTGTGGGTTGTATAAGATTAACCACATCTTTTTTAATTTTCTACTGGACTTTTATTTTTAGAAAAGCATGATAAAACACCCAATTGATAAATTAAACTTCAAAATGTATTGCTGTGCACCACTTTTGGTCAGGGAGGCACTAAGAAAAGCCTGTCTTAGGAATAAGAGCTCGAAGAGGGGTAGGCAATTTTTGGCTCTCTAGATATTGTGGACTGTATCTCTCATTATGGTTTTACAACCATAATGCAAGCAAAGCAGAAGCCATAACAAGCTGCAGCTTGTTTTTTTTAATTTTTGCAACAAGACAATGCACATTTTAAACACAACTATGCTGTTGGGAATTCTGTGTAGGGGAATCAGTAATTGCAGAACAAATTTTGGTCACCAAGAACACAGAGCATTGTATTTGATAAAGCAGTCAAAGTACTTGGTTGTCTAACTTTAAAAAAAAAAATAGCTAAATAATTTGATTTGGAAAAAAATGTTTAGTTAAGCCTACCTGGATTTAGATTTTTTTTTACCTATATTTTTCATATTTATTTATTTATTTATGTATTTATTTATTACTGGCATTTATAAAGTACCAACAAATTCCAAAGTGATTCAGATTAATTGAGGGGCGACATACAATATACACAGACAAATACACAAGGTATAGAGAGTCCTGTCCGAAATCTAGCCATTGAAGCTCTTTTATACAACGTGCTTAGTTAGATAGGTCATGAGCATGCAGTCTAAAGAATATAATGGGGATTTGAGACAAGAGGTAGCAGGGGGAAATTGGAAGCAATGGCTAAAGGATGTTAATGGGGATTAGAAGCTACTGGCAAAATGTAAAAGGAATGAGGAGGCAATTGAGTCAGATCTCAAACCGCTGTATGAGCATGCTATACATTTTCAAGAAAATGGAGAGATTCGGAATTGTTGGTTCTTGGTGTGTGAAGTTAGCCCTAATGAACAGGGATGGAAATGAAACAATTAAATGAAGGTATTTATTGCTTGGGGGGTGGGTGGGACAGAGGATGGAGAGTGATAGGGTGACTAGAGAAAAAATTGAAAGGTTTACCAATCAAATTATATCACCCAAAATATTAATAACCGTGTGTACATGAAATGCAGGCAGAATGCATTCAATGGAATAATAATCTGCATGCACATAAAATTACAGTGGCAAACTACAGGTATAAATGGTAACAATGCTATAGTAGCAAATGATAATATGGTAAAAAAGAAAGAATAAATGAGGTGGGGTATCTTCGTACCTGTAGTTTGTCTCTGTAATTTTCTGTCCATGCAGTTTATATATTATGGTCATTAAATGTTTTGCACCTATATTTCACGTACAAACAGTTATTAATATTTTGGGTGATATAATTTTGTCGGTGAACATTTCAATGGTATAAAACAAAGGTTTGCTCTACCCATCCCCTCTCATATACTCTCTGAAATCAACACAACTTGCATTACTGTGATGTTCATCCTGCATCTTCAGAAAAAAATATATATTTTTAATAATTAATATAGTGATTAGGCCTTGTATGGCTAGATTGAACCAAAAATAATTTTGCCTGATGTATTGAAGTATCACTAGCTAGATAGACAGCAAGAGGCTCTAATGGCAGAAGTTATACAATTTGACCTTTTTAGGTGTTAATTAGAAATCCTATATTGTTACGGGAACACAAAACATTCCATACTGCTTCATTTAATATGTCTGACAATATTTAAAAAATATTGACAAGGCTCACATTTTATATGATGAGAAATGCTTAAACAGAAAACAATTTTTAATATTTATTTTTGCTAAAGTCTTACAGTGGAGATGTCACATTTCTGTATATTACATGTAAACTGATGCGTGTAAAAAAAAAGTGATTCTTCTGAATCGGCTCGTCTGAAAAAAAATGAGGTGTGCGATTCTTCCAAGTGGGCAAATTTTGTCCATGTCCAAGCAATCGTTTGGAAAAAATGCTTTGGAAAAAATTTGTAAATCAATAAAAATTGACCAGTCAGTGTACTGCAAAATATAAATATGTTTACATTACATTATTAATTAGATTACAGTATTACATTTAATAAAAGCAGTTAGACAGTAAATTATTAGTGCAGTTTATTATAACAGCTTCCAATAATCACATATTGAGTTAGGTTGGTCGTTAATGCTAATGCAGGCATTTGAGTAAGCATGTTTGTTGTACAAGAGTGATATGTGGCCTACATGAGCATTTAGTTAGGATGTGCAATGGTAGGTTACTTGTGCAAAAGTGGAAATTTCAGTATGCATGTAAAAATGCTTATACATAACAAAACTATAACATGGCAGAACATATGCACTGTATATTGGGTGCTTTCTAATGTAGGTGTTTGAGTGGATGTATTGGTCGCGACTTAGTAATGGTAAGCCCTAGTGGGTGATAAGTGAGAAAAGTACAAAAATAGTAAACATATGTGGAGATGAAAATGACTTTATCCTGGCAATAACATTCACACAATGCAAAAGAAATTTGAGTGGTAACGCAGCACAACGTTTGCAACTTTGATTAATTCTATTATCCGTGTCTTCCACCGTCTAGTAAGGAATTGGTTTTCCTAGCGCAGCCTCTACCTGTCTCACATCTTGGTCTACCCAGCCTCCCTATGTGGGACGCCTATGGTCAGCGAAGGGATTCGAGTAGACCTGCCTGGACCTCTGTGACAGTGTGAGGTCCAGTGGCGCTCAGGACGGTGACCGTGTTGCCCAGCACAAGAGTTACAATAGGGTGGGGAAGGTTGCAGAAATATATGTGCTCCGGTGAATAGATGTAGCGTTACAATGATAATATATTTATGAAACAATATCGTATACTGGATTATTCAGTACATATTGTAAATTCAGTGTTCATGTTTATGCATGTTTGATTGGTCAATATGTTTGAGACACAGAATTTGTTGCTCTTGGTATAGTCCAATTATGGCTATTTTGGATCTGAACATATATGTTTCTAAAAGTGGGCTAAACTTCATGGGAAATCTAGTTCACAAACCTCTACAGTGTCATATTTATCCACAACACTTGCCTTCAAGGAACCTTTCTTCTTGGTAGAGATGCTTGATGTCTTCAAGTTTCTCCTACTATCTTCTGTCATCTGTATAGATCCAAAAGACATGGACAGGAAGTTAGTTAGCAGAAGTAGATGAGGCTTGGTAAATCAAAAGGGTTACTAGGAGAAGCTCTGTCAACTTTGAGGGATCTTTTTTGTGGAAACCCAGAAGGTAAGCAGAAGTAAGTTTTACTTACTTGAAGCTCTCCGTCGCAGGTGCCACCATCTTCTCTCTTCGGCTCCTGGCTTTTCACCCACCAGGAATCACACAATACTGTACTCTAACACATGCGCAAGAGTAAAGCACATATTGCAATGAAGGAACCTGTGAGGATGTGGGAAGTTCCATATACCAACTTGTGCAAGAGGCTGCCAGTCTCCCCCAGCTATCAACAGCTGTGGGAACAGAAAACACTTGCCTTTTTCCACCATATACTGACCGTAAAACAAAGTTGTCCCTAATTTGTCTTATGATATACTTTTACTGCATCAGAATTTCAATAAAAGTGAGTGAGTAAGAATGAGAATTTCATAAAGATTATATCATTGCATTCATAAAGTGTATTATTTTATTATATTGCTAATGAAGTTCTGCCACATAGTAAGTAGCTCAATTGATTTATACAGTAGTTGTAGTGCCTGTGTAAACATCTCTATGAAAGGTTTGATTCCCAACAGTATTTAACACTTTCCTAGTTGAAATGTAATCATAGTGCAGAATATACTATGCCTAAGACAGTTTAGATATTATTATTACCAAAGTGCTAATACTCAAAAGAATTAAATACTGAGTTGACCTTGCAAACCTTCGGCTAGAGCTTTATCCACTAAGTTATCTTACCAATAAGATGATGCATTTATTGGATTTTCCAATAGATACTCTGTGAACATATGATTTTTGTCTTAACCGATCCTCAGGGGAGAAACCGATTAACCCGCTAATTTCTTTTCTCTTTTAGTTCTATGCTTTGCAGCTCCGAAAACAAAAAATATCCGCTGGTGTGTGAAATCAGAAGATGAGTGGAAAAAGTGTGATGAACTATCTAAAAACTGTAAGGTTCCTGATATCACGCTCAGCTGTGTGAAAACAACAAGCACTTTGGAATGTTTCCAGAGTATTCAGGTAAGCTTAGTCATCTTAGTAAATCTAATAGTCATCAACCTAATGACAATAACATGGCAAATGTACAACAATGACAATCTGTTTAGCTGGATGACAGCATATATATCTTCATACAAATGTAACAGAACAGACCGAATAAAATGTCACTCATATTGAGACTGAGTTTTACCAATACTGGGTTTGGTATACTGTAAAATAGCAGGGCTGACCAAACAGATATCTTTAGCAAACATATTGTATGGTTGGTAATAGAGTAACTCTATTTAAAAATTATAATATATAAAATATATATATAATTGAGAATAAATTTTTTTTAAAAAAATGGGATTGTTTTAGAAACCATACCGATTTATTGAATATAAATAAATATAGACATAAAAAAGTAATAATCCTTTATAACTATATACAGCAGAGTTTATAAGATTAAAGTATAAACATGCAATATCAGAAAAATAGAATAGTATACCCTCCTCAACCTATTGGTCTTATAAAATGCAACAGCATCTCTTCTTCCAAATTCTCCCTTCTGTGTCAACTAACTAATAATTGGTGTTTATATAGATTTTAGATCACAATACTTCCGCTAATTTTTTGTGCAGGAAAAATACCATATAATACATTAAAACAGGTAACTGCAGTTAACTTAGGGGTAACCCACCAGTCAATCAACAATAATGAACGAACATTAGGTATTGATTTCTTGGCACAAAGACAAGGCCATGACAAAATAATGAGGAAACATGATCTGGCATAGCAAGACAAAATGACATCTATACAGGGCCGGATTAAGAGCACAGTGGGCCTGGTGCTGACAATTATGATGGGCCTAATCACGGAATCTTATCGACCAAAAACACGAAAACAATCATACCTCCCAAGCGTCATGTATCTGATGGAGATGGTGCTGGAGGGAAACTCATAGGATGTAGCTATAAGAAAACACATCCTCTATGCTAATTTCTCTCTAATTTATGCTTTCATCTTTCAAGTAAGTCCATAACCCCTAACAGCAGAGTCCAGTGAAGCAGGAAGTCAATGGGCTGGGTAAAAGGGTGTGCCACTTGTGCGAATCACGTGACAAGACCTGCCAAAAGGGGTGAACATGCCCAAAAAGGGGGCATGTTTGTCCAAAGAATTGGAAGGTCAGCTTGGCATGAATGCATGTCAGGCTTCCTGCCAATCCTGCAGGCTGTCCAACTAAGGGCATACTATGCAGGCAGCACCTTGACTTGACATAAATGCGTCTAATGATGCGCTCACTCCATTCTTTCTAAGGACTGTCCCCTAGCACTTGCTGGTCCACTTGTCTCCTTACCTTCCTACTAGCAGGCAGAAGTTCCTGGTATATAGTCTGAGACAGAGAAAAGGTGTCTGTAGTGAGTGTAGAAGAAAGGGGACATGCCATAGTGTTAGAGAGACCAACGTCTGCATTACCTAAACTAACTTTAATGTCAGCCAGTGCACACAAGTTTTGTTCCCATACATCCCTCTTAAGCTTCCAAACTTAAAGGGACACTATAATCACCAGAACAACTACAGCTTATTGTATTTGTTCTGGTAAGTAGAATCATTCCATTCAGGCTTTTTGCAGTAAACACTGTCTTTTCAGAGAAAACAACTCCTCTGGCTGCTCCTTAGATGGCTGCTAGAGGTGCTTCCTGAGGCAATACTGCCTAGTGTGCAGCATTGCCATTCAGTGTCTCCACCCTCTGCATGCAGACACTGAACTTTCCTCATAGAGACGCATTGATTCAATTTATCTTTATGAGGAGATGCTGATTGGCCAGGGCTATGTTGGACTTGTGCTGGTTCTGCCCCTGATCTGCCTAGATGACAGTCTCAGCCAATCCTATGGGGAAGTATTGTAATTTGCTCAGATCACCACTTCTGAGCCAGCAGCTGCAGAATTGAATACAAGTAATATTTTACTATATTTAGGGAGGCAGGAAGGTGTCAGGGTGGTGGTTTTAACATAATAGGGTACGAAATATATGATTGTGTTCCTGACACTATAGTGCTCCTTTAAGCAAGAGTATGTGAAGAGTAGTTAAGGTTGCCACCTTTCTTGGAAAAAAATACCAGCCTTAATCATTTGTATAATTAGTTATGCGTGACATCACATGATGTAAATCACAAGTAGTGACATCAGAGAAAATTCTGTAAAATCACCAACAAACTACTCACAGTTTGATTCTGCTGTATAGATGGATTGCTCCCAGTGTCTCAGTCTCGCAAGTCACCCAGTATCTCAGTGTCCCTATGTATCACAGTGTCAGTGTCCCCATGTCGCCCAGTCCCCTAGTCTCCCAGTGTCTGTGTCCCCATTTCTCCCAGTGTCCCAATGTCTCAGTGTGTCCCCATGTCACTAGGATACTGGGGACACAGAGACATGGGGACACTGAGAGACCCGGGGACACAGAGACATGGAGACACTGGGAGACATGGGGACACTGAGACATTTAGGGAAACTGGGAGAAATGGGGACACTGAGACACTAGGGACACAGACACTAGGAGACATGGGGACACTGAAACATTTGGGGACACAGACATGGGAACACAGACACTGGGAGACTAGGGGACACTGGGAGACTAGGGGACACTGGCTGGGAGACAGACACTTGGGACACTGGGAGACATGGGGACAGTTGTGGACATAGACATGTGGACACTGGGACATATAGGGACACTGGGAGACATGGGGACACCAGGCACACTGAGACACTAGGAACACAGACACTGGGAGACATAGAGACACTGTAACATTTGGGGACACTAAGACACCAGGGACACAAACACTGGGAGACTAGGGGATACTGGGAGACTAGGGGATAGTGGGAGACTAGGGGACACTGTCTGGGAGACAGACACTTGGAGACACATGGGGACAGTTGTGGACATAGACATGGGGACACTGGGACACATGGGGACACTAGGCACACTGAGAGACATGGGACACAGACACTGGGAGACTTGGGGACACTGAGACACTAGGGACACTGGCAGGGGGACATAGTGTCTCCGTGTCCCAATGCCCCTATGTCTCACAGCATCCCCATGTGTCTCAGCATCCCCATGTGTCCCAGTGTCCCCTAGTATCTGTTTCCCCATGTTTTCCAGTGTCCCCAAGTGTCTGTATCCCCAGGTCTCCTAGTGTCTGTGTCCCCATGTGTCCTAGTGTCTCAGTGTCCCCTAGTGTCTGTGTCCCTTAGTGTCTGTGTCCCCATATGATCCCAAGTGTCTCAGTGTCCCCTAGTGTCTCAGTGTTCCCAGGTCTCCCAGTGTCTCAGTGTCCCTGCTGCCTTTCCCCCATCCCTCACTTACCTGAGCTGTAGAGCTTCTGTCCGGACTTTCTGTGCTGTGTAGCTGCTCCCCCATGGATCAGTGAGTAGTAGAGAGAGGCAGAGAGGGATATTCAGTAACTTCCTATGCCTGCCTCTCTCCACACACAGTGACCCCTACTGGCCGGTGCTGGTATTGCAGAGTAATTTCCATTTATTCTGAGAAAATTACCTGCATTTGTATTGCCAGTATTACTGCAATACCGGCACGGCCAGGCAGCCTCAAATACCGTCTGTGCCATTAAAATACCAGTCAGGTGGCAAACCTAAGAGTAGTGTGTAAAAAAATTTTTTAAAAAATAAAAAAATAAAAAGTTTTTTTTTTTTTTTTTTTTTAAATGGGCCTATTCCATGGGCCTGGGCCTGGAGCTGCAGCTCCATCAGCCCCTATGTTAATCCGGCCCTGCATCTATAGTCTAAACATTTTACTTACGAAACTGGATGTGAAACCAGTTTAATAACAAACAGACCGTTTTCCATCGTAAGTAACAAGGGGGACCTGCCATTTCTGCAAGTGTCCATAACAATGGCATCAAATTAACCAAATAAGCACATCTGATTCAGTGCCATCCAGCATCTGTTTTAAAATCAGCATTTCTCACATGTGAATTCCATAGAAAATATAGGATTTGCGTATTTATCAAACACATACTTTCACCTCGAAGCACTTTAAACAAATCCAGCAGCATGCAGATTAAATCAGTCTCTCTCTCTGTCACTCCACCACCCAAAATGAGTATTTCTTAACCCCTTAAGGACACATGACATGTGTGACATGTCATGATTCCCTTTTATTCCAGAAGTTTGGTCCTTAACGGGTTAAGGACCAAATTTCTGGAATAAAAGGGAATCATGACATGTCACATATGTCATGTGTGCTTAAGGGATTAAAGGTATAAAGAAATTACAATCCAGTCAAAAGATATACTAAATAGGGGCTACTTTATCTTTGTATTTTTTCTACGATGGACCAAGCTTGACAAACGGCTGAGCTACCTTTTGTCAAGCCCTTAGCCATCACTAGTGACAGCTGAGGAGGGAAAGGCTCTGTCTAAAGGAGAATCCTGAGGCTTTGTGGGATCCTTAACAGACCTCAGTGTTGTCATCATGTGTGAGAGCACAACGCTGTAAGAAAATATGTCTGAACTAGACATTGTGTGCGATGAGAGAATGTTATGGGCATCTGGTCTTGGCCATGTATGTGCTCATGAGTAAAGGTTTCTGGTAAAATCTAAGGATGTAGAAAGAACGATTTTGCCTTTCACTACACCTAATACGTTACTGTCTTTTGATCGGGTCTTCCAATTTCCATCACCAATGTGTTACCTAAAGAAAAACTTAAAAAGGGAAAAACACATATTTTATAACACATTCTTTGTAAGGTCTTTAACAAAAGTGTTTAATTCTATTCCCTTTCTAACTTGGCCTACTAACTTCTTATTAGTTTGCGCCAGTTATTTGTTTTTTAGAAAATCCACTTGTTTTGCAAAAATACCCTTTTGAGGTTTCAAATTATAATTTTTACCACTTTAGTTTCTGGTTTTGTACTTTAAGCATGTGGTTTGGAATACATGGTTCTTTGTCAGGTAGGTGGTAATTATAATCTGACATGCCCACCTATCACACATGAACCTTTTACGATGAATATGCCTATTTCTTTTACAGAATTTTACATCATGCCAAACTATGCCAACCTAAAACATTGTTTGACTTTTATATGTGGGGGCTTTCTCTGATTTATATATCTGTGAGGTTGAAGACTTTGTACCAATGACAATTGCAGTTTATTTACCTTATCTTGATTTAATTAGAATTACTTTGGCCCTCTTTCCATCAAGCAATTCATTATATTGACATAGTTAAACCAAATAACCCTCGAATCTCTGTCAGTGTTGTATTATGACAAATGCAATATATAGGGTTAATTCAGATCGAGAAAACAAGACCAGACACAGCACCAGCAACAGTGCAAACCTGTATAATTAAGTGACAGCTGGTCACTCGCACTTTGGAGCCAAATAAAGAGCAATCAGAAAATATTTGGTATCATTCTTCTCAATTTTTGGACTTTATTGATGTCTGTCTCATTCACGAAGAGAAAAGATAAAGTGTATCCAAATAAAATAACTATAAGAATAAAGTGTACAATACAAATGTATTTACTTACACAAATGTAAACAGTAGCAGGTGAAACTTGTAACCACTGGTTCGCAAGTAAGTCCTGTGTTTCTTCCCAGTCAGGGACTTCCTCGGGGACAGTTTTTCAATTTAGAACCAAATACAAAGTGCATCAAGTGTTGCATTAAGTAATGCTTTCTTATATGCATACCAGTTGTGATCAGCATGTACTCCAGGTGGAACAGTCAGTTTGTAAAAAGGAAATAATCTGTTCACCCTTGTACAGACTCCCCTCTCACCCTTGTACAGACTCCCCTCTCCCCCTTGTACAGACTCCCCTCTCCCCCTTGTACAGACTACCCTCTCCCCCTTGTACAGACTCCCCTCTCTTCTGTGCACAATTACAAAGGTAAAATAGTTTTTGTCACTCCAGACCAAGAATATTTCATAACGCTTTCAGAAGTTGTTACTTGGTTCTAGGTTATATAATACCCGAGGTAGTAGACTTGCTCTGAGTAACTGGTCTGTACTGGCAATTCTAAGCAATTAGATATGGTTTATCAATATAGGTTTGGCGTTCCCTTAAATAGCTTCACAAAGGACTGGGTTTGGTATGTTCTAAAACATTTTCACAAAATATTGGGTCTGATATCTTCTAGAATAGATCCATGAACACTTGGCTTGGTATTATCTTAAATAGTTTTACTAACACTGGCTTTGGTCTCATCAATGCTGGGTTTAGTATGCCCTAGAATATTTCTATTAAAAATTGTGTTAGGTTTTAGAATTGTTTGATTAACATAAAATTTGGTATGGTTTCACTAATTAAGGGTTTCATCTATTCCAGAATGGAAATTCAGATGCTGTTGGTGTTGACGGTGGAGATGTTTACAGAGGTTCACTGAAACCTTACAACTTGAAGCCCATCATTGCCGAAAACTATGGCACTGAGAAAGGTAAAGTAATGCTGGAGGCAGACCAGATCCAAAAATGTAGACTGTGAATAAGTGTGAAATAGTATCTACTTTCCTTCCTTGTTTGGTATCGGGCTCTTTCAACACAAACTCACATACAAAAAAACTACTATCCTTTCTTCTCTTTTTGGAAGGTGTTAAAAAAGTGGATTGGAAAATATTTTCCTTCCTGTACTTGAACGTGTTTTGTTTTTTCCTCATTGATGAGTTATTCAATACAAACTCAGTTTGATTTCCATTTATAGAAAATGTCCATAAGATATCAATACTGCTTGGTACCAGTATACTGTATAGTGGTTTGTTTGGTTTTTGTTTCTTTGCCTGTTTGTTCATTTTTTTGCCATGGCTCGCAGATACATTTGAAAACATTTACAATGACATTAAGTAAAATATATTTTTTATGCATAACAATTCATTTTGAGTCAACAAAGAAGCACTATTACCTTTAAAGTGGTCCCAATTTTCTTTTTACACAATTAACAATGAATTTGTGCTTCAAACAAAACATACAAATAGTAAGTACAACATCTTGAAAATTTGGGGTATGGGACATGTGTAGAGATCTTCATTATGCCTTGGAATAATAGCAAACATCTCATGTGTTTTTTCACACGATATGTAGTGCCTTGAGAGGTGACTACGGGGTAGGCCCCAACAATATGGCACTTCCTTGCACGTAGTAGTTTGAGCAACGGTCGTAGGGACTGGCGCCACAAGATAGTGCTTCTGGTTAGATCCAGGAAGAGGAATAGTGAGGTACCCTCGAATGTAAGTGGGGTCTTCCCTCTTACTGCTGCTTGCAGGAAGGCCTTATCCTGTAGGAAGCTGAAGTGAAGGATAAGGTCTGGAATAGCGGAAGCTGGTGCCTCAGCCGGCTTGGGGAAGTGGAACATGCTGTCTAATTTAATGGTCTTGGCGTGTTTCGGTGGTAGGCAGGCTGCAAAGAACTGTCTGATGAAGTGAGGTAAGTCTAGCAGTCCTACCAATTCCGGCACCCCTTGCGCTTCAGGTTGTACATTCTCTGCTGGTCCTCCAGGGCATCTATTCTGCTGTCAGCTTTTTGCTGGTGTTGATTTAGAGCTGCCAGGCCTCTCTCGACCGCTGTAAGCCTAATATCTTGAGTGCTACGGGTGGCTTCAAGTTGAACTAATTTAATGGTCGTACTTTCAACGGCCTTCTTGAAGGAGGCCAAGTCTCCCGCTATGTTTGTGCAGGGTGACTTTAATTTTTTTAATGAACAGTTTTTCATTTTCAGTCTTTATCTCTCATTAGCAAGTCTGGTTTCCATTTGTTTTGCTAATATCCTCTTTACGGAGTTCTGTTACTATCTAGAAGTATATGAAATAAGTTGTGAGCACTCAAGTAGACGGTCCAAAAGCATGGAAAGTAGAAATTAAATAGTCCATCACATATCTGTTACATATAAGAAATCCTTATGTATTTAGACAATGGGTAACAATGTTTTACCTAATGCTGGTCTTCATCACGTCATATTTTACTGGTGTTTACTTACTTGGTGTTTGCCACCTGTTAAGGGTATCCTCATAGATTTCTGCATACTATCAGATGTCTCTGATTTCTCCTACAGAACCTAACACCTGTTACCTTGGAGTGGCTGTGGTGAAAAAATCAAGTTCATTCATGTTTGACGGCCTTAAGGACAAGACAACATGTCACACAGGAATAGGAAAGAGTACCGGCTGGAATGCTCCTATTGGGGAACTCCTAGATCGCGAAATTCTGGACTGGGAAGGACCTGAAATGGAAAGCATTGAAAAAAGTATGTCAATCATTTCCTAAAACATGGATATCTGTGTGTTTGTTTTCTGTAATATACCTCTATGTAAATAATAGGCCATTTCAGTTTACAGCTTGGCCCTACGTTAATCAGATTTGGCTTTTAACCCCTTAAGGACACATGACATGTGTGACATGCCATGATTCCCTTTTATTCCAGAAGTTTGGTCCTTAAGTGGTTAAGGATAGTGTAAGGTAAAACATGCATAGTTTAAATGCATTCAAACAGTGCATTTGTAATAAAGTTATGCATTTATTCATTTTTTTAAACTGTACTCCAAGACTCTAAATACTTTCCTTGTTGTGGCTGCAGACTTTGTTTCTGCAGCTAAAACACCTCCTTATCTGCCTAACACAAGCAGCACCTATGGCAGGCACTGAAATTGGGCCCCTAGTGGCCCTTGTCCAAACATCTGACACATCTTTTAGATAACTTTACCATAAATTCAGCTCAATACTACAAGCTGTATGTCATGTGTATGTGTGGTGTCTTCTGGCTGTGTGTGATGTGTGTGGGATGTGTTGGCTGTATGTAATATGTGTGTGTATGTGGTATGTGTGTGATGTATGCTGTTTGTGATGTGATGTGTGGGCTAGCTGTATGTGGTGTGTGTTTTGGGTGTGCTGGCTATATACAATGTGTGTGTGTGTGTGCAGTGTGCTGACTATATGCAGTGTATGTGTGTGTGTGGTGTGCTGACTATATGTAATGTGTTTGTGTGGTGTTCTGACTATATCTAATATGTGCTTCATGTTTGGTGGCTGTATGTAACATGTGTTGTCATGCTCTGTGTAGCCCACTCATACTTTCCTTTCTCCAAAGATGGGGGAGTATGAACCCTGGTGGTCCAAGGGTGTGGTCAAATTCCCTTGTAGTCAAGCAGGGGTTTTGTTTGTCACGTTGTCTAACGGGGTCCTGAGTCCCTGATAGTCCAGTGGGACAGCATGAGGTTTGTACCAACAGCGTAATTGCTCCCTGTGCAAGCTGAGAACATCCACTGGTGACGCTCTGAGTCACTAGAGAGCGCCAGACCACAAGAAAGCCATTACTGAGCACCCACCATAGGTGCCAAGCTCACACTCGAACTTTGATTCCCTTCACCATAGCAGTCCTTCTACTTGCCCACGGCAGGGATAAAAGAAAAAACAAACCTTTAAGTGGCACCCACATGTGCCATACCTGCCATACTCGAGGTATTAGAACTGTTGTTATTACTTCTCTATAAGAAGTACTAGACCAAAACCCTGTACTATGTAAAAAATAAAATTGGAAGTTAGCATGCTGATGCCAGACATTGAAATAAATACAATGTTTGAATTTGATTCTGTCCCTAAATGACAGCCATTAAGAATGCCTTCCAATATAGGGTGTGTGACATCGTCTCTACTGCCATTATGGGAGCATGTCATTGTTGCCACCTCTGTCAAAGGCCTGGAAGCAGGCAGGGTCACCTAAAACAAGAAGCATGCCAGGCTGGACCCACTCAGGGACGTGCATGCACTTTTAATGCTCTCTGGCATTAGTTTCATTCTTTGACTGCAGTTTGCAAAGCACAAGAACATATTTTGATACACTCACTTAATGGTGATCAGTCCCAGATGTGGGACACAACATGAAAGTTCTGTTACTAACTATTTTCTGTAATTTAGGAGTGTCAAGGTTCTTCAAAGCGTCTTGTGTTCCTGGTGCGACTGAGCCAAACTTGTGTAAGCAGTGTGGAGGGAAAGGCAAAGATAAATGTGCTCGTTCTAATGCTGAACCATACTACAACTACGAGGGCGCATTCCAGTAAGGGCTGCATTGTTTATACTTTTTTTTTTTTTTTTTTTTAATTAGAGAACAATTTCATATTCTGACTTTACATACATTACTCATTAACAGGTCCACATAAAGTATTTATTGAATAGTCACAACTGATGTAATCCCTGAATCAAAGATCACTATTTTTTGAATGCATAAAGGACTGTATAATATGTTATTGCTGTGTAATTAAATGGCAGTATGTAAGCAATATTCTAAATACACCAAGGGAAACAGAAATTAAACTAAAGAGCATGAAGGGAACAGGTTGATTTAAATGGATCTAGAGCAACATGTGCTAATTAAGCAGAGTAGCAGCTGTCATCAATAGGGATATTTGCTAAAGTGAATGTAAGTCCATAATAGCGGAACTGAAGCATTTTGTCAATTTCACCTTAAAGGGATTCTCCAGTGCTAGGAAAACATATTTGTTTTCCTGGCACTGTAGGATCCTCTAGTGCCCCTCTACCTCCCACCCCCCATCCCAAGTTGCTGAAGGGGTTAAAACCCCTTCAGTGATCTACAGATGCCCCTCGGCACTGGGTTAGGCACCACCTACGTCAACCGTCAGGAGAGACCTAATGCGCTTGTGAGGCTGTCGGCGGGGGAGACCTAATGCACATGCGTTGCAATGGCCGCGCATGCGCATTAGACCTCCCCATAGGAAAGCATTGAATAATGCTTTCCTATGGGGATTTTGGCGACGCTGGAGGTCCTCACATAGCGTGAGGTCGTCCAGCGCCGTTTTATGAACACGGAAGTCTCCTCTAGTGGCTGTCTAGTAGACAGCCACTAGAGAAGGACTTAACCCTGCAATGTAAATATTGCAGTTTATGAAAACTGCAATAATTACACTTGCAGTGTTAAGGGCAGTGGGTAGTAGTATTACTTTACTGAGAGAGTAGTGGATGCATGGAATAGCCTTCCAGCTGAAGTGGTAGAGGTTAACACAGTAAAGGAGTTTAAGCATGCGTGGGATAGGCATAAGGCTATCCTAACTAAACGATAATGCCAGGGACTAATGAAAGTATTTAGAAAATTGGGCAGACTAGATGGGCTGATGGGTTCTTATCTGCCGTCACATTCTATGTTTCTATTCTATGGGTTGGCACCCAGACCACTCCAATAGGCAGAAGTGGTCTGGGTGTCTGGAGTGTCCCTTTAAATTTAAAACTCACATTTATTTCACTCAGAATTTTCACCAGAGAATGCATTTTACAATGGAGGCCAGCTTATACCTGCTGTAAAGTAAACTGCAAAAAATGTCTTTGCGAAGATAGAATGATTGGTATCTTAAATTTCTTTACTCACTCAGGTGCTTGAAAGATGGTAAAGGAGAAGTCGCTTTCGTGAAACAAACAACTGTACCATCAGGTAACTGATATGTCTGTCTATATTGCAGCCTGATGACATCACTGATACACTGTATCACTAACCTGTAATATAGCCAAAACATAGACTTTTGTACTGATCTATTTATCTAACTGTAGAATGGCATCCCACTCACCTTCCTACATATGTTCCTTCTAAGAAATATTTTGTTATAAAGTATACAGTCTATATGTAAAGGTAATCAGCGAAATACATTTGACATGGATGTGTAGCACTTAAATGGAACCACAAGATGGCAGCATAGTCCAAAAAAAGGCTATTTTTGGCGAGTAATAAATGGATGTGCAGTACTGTAATATTTGTCAGAAACATAGTACATGTAACCTTTGTGAGATCGGGCACACTATGTTGGAATAAAACTCAAAATAGGAAACTTGCTATAAAGGAGGCAGTAAATGTATGGTATCCTTCCAGGGCCGGCCTTAGGTGATCAGACGCCCTGTGCGAGCCCAACATATGGCGCCCCCCCCCCCTTCAGCAAAACCTCTGCCCCTTCTACAATAGCCCTGTTCCGCCTTCTACAAAACCCTTCCACAAACCCCAGCCCCCCTTTCTACAAAAACCCTGCCCCCCTTTTTACAAAACCCCTGCCCCCTCTACAAAACCCCTGCTCCCCCTTTAATAAAACCCCTGCCCACCCTTCTATAATTTTTTTCTCCCCCTTTAACAAAACACATGCTATCATTATATATATCAACTATACAGCAATGTTCACATAATATCACTAAAAACCTTCCCCCTCCACCAAAACCACTGCCACCCTCTACAAAAGTCCTGCACTCATTCTACATAAACCTCTGCTCCCCTTCTACAAAACCCATGCTCCCCTTATACTAAGCCCCTGCTCCCCTTCAACTAAACCCCTGCTCCCTTATACTAAACCCCTGCCCCCCTTATACTAAACCCCTGCTCCCCTTATACTAAACCCCTGCCCCCTTATACTAAGCCCCTGCTCCCCTTATACTAAACTCCTGCCCCCCTTATACTAAAGTCCTGCCCTGTTATACTAAACCCCTGCCCCCCTTATATTAAAGTCCTGCCTCCCCTTATACTAAACCCCTGCTCCCCTTATACTAAACCCCTGCCCCCTTATACTAAACTCCTGCCCCCTTATACTAAACCCCTGCCCCCTTCTACTAAACCCCTGCTCCCCTTCTACTAAACCCCTGCTCCCCTTATACAAAACCCCTGCTCCCCTTATACAAAACTCCTGCCCCCTTTACAAACCCCCTGGTCCCCCTTCAACAAAACCCATGCCCCCTCCACAAAATCCTTTCCCCTGCCACTTCACCAGAAATGCCTGCCCCCTCTACAAAACCCCTGCTCCCCCTTTAATAAAACCCCTGCCCACCCTTCTATAATTTTTTTTCTCCCCCTTTAACAAAACACATGCTATCATTATATATATCAACTATACAGCAATGTTCACATAATATCACTAAAAACCTTCCCCCTCCACCAAAACCACTGCCACCCTCTACAAAAGTCCTGCACTCATTCTACATAAACCTCTGCTCCCCTTCTACAAAACCCATGCTCCCCTTATACTAAGCCCCTGCTCCCCTTCAACTAAACCCCTGCTCCCTTATACTAAACCCCTGCCCCCCTTATACTAAACCCCTGCTCCCCTTATACTAAACCCCTGCTCCCCTTATACTAAACCCCTGCCCCCTTATACTAAGCCCCTGCTCCCCTTATACTAAACTCCTGCCCCCCTTATACTAAAGTCCTGCCCTGTTATACTAAACCCCTGCCCCCCTTATATTAAAGTCCTGCCTCCCCTTATACTAAACCCCTGCTCCCCTTATACTAAACCCCTGCCCCCTTATACTAAACTCCTGCCCCCTTATACTAAACCCCTGCCCCCTTCTACTAAACCCCTGCTCCCCTTCTACTAAACCCCTGCTCCCCTTATACAAAACCCCTGCTCCCCTTATACTAAACTCCTGCCCCCTTTACAAACCCCCTGGTCCCCCTTCAACAAAACCCATGCCCCCTCCACAAAATCCTTTCCCCTGCCACTTCACCAGAAATGCCTGCCCCCTCTTCTACAAAACCTCTCCTCTACACCAAAACCCCTACCCCCTTTTTTACAAAACCTCTAACCCCTTCTATAAAACCTCTGCTCCTCCCTAAACCAACCCCCTTCTACAAAACCCCTTCCCCAAAATCCCAGCGAGAAAACCTCTGCTCCCCCTTCTGCAAACCCCCACACACACACACACAAAAACAACAATCTATTTAATTAAAAAAAAAAAAAAGCAATAGTTACAACAAGAATAAACAGACTCACATTAAAGCTTGCTGCTCCCTGGAACCTCCTGACAGTGTCCCAGTCTGCCGACCTTGATACCAGCACTGACCTCCTCCCTCACACTCACTGTGCGGATCCTTCCGCGGATGACTGTGGAGGCGGAGCATGCTCTTCCTCCGTGCTCCTGACCTCCTCTCTCTCCCGGCCGCTGCTCTCTTCATAATTTGCAAGTCAAGTGCGCAGCATAATGCACTTGACTTGCTCTGCACATGACTCGGGCCGGCATGTGAGTGACTGAGTGCGAGCTGTGCTGGCCGCCCGGCGCCCCTGTTGCCATGGCGCCCTGTGCGGCCGCACAGCTCGCACACCCCTAAGGCCGGCCCTGTATCCTTCCACTAATAGCCCAGAGTCAGAGATGGGAACATGTCATTATATAGGGTAAAATAAATTTACTGTGTATCTAGGGTACTGCTATGTATCTAGGGTGCAGCTTGCCGATTAGTTGGCAGAGTGAGTGAATGGATATTCCTCTTCCGTTCCTGGGTTTTCATGACCATAGCGAAGCAGAACCTAACTCTCATTAGCGGGATCGGAGGAGGAATTTAGGCAATTATACAGTGTGTTGCATGATGGTCATGATGCATGACTAAGGTCTTGTAGGCTGAAACATTACATAGCTTTTTGTTGTATCCTAAGCCCACCAATAATGCGCTGTTAATGCATTGTGGGTTATATTTGGAACTCTGTAGGTCATCTCTACTATAAAACACAGCTTGGTGTCATTTTATGATTTTGTGCCTGTTTTACATCAGACTGCATCAATATGTCACCATACATACTTTAGCCTTACCGGAAGATTTTGCAGTGAGTTGCTGGTTGAACCTATATGTATGACTCTTTAAAGCAGTAGTCAGACAAGATAATACTAGTTAATAGTTATAATTTACTAATATTTAGTGAAGAATGAAACAGGATACGGAAATTAAGAGCACATGAAGCACGTATACAAATTCATAGCAAGAAGCTGAAACTACTCACTCTCACTTATAGACTACATAACTGCATTAAGAAATCTCCTTTCGAGTTTTCCATTCAGTTAACATGTACATCCCTATAAGACATTTCCAGTACCATGATAAGTTGTGCTACCAACTTACAAAACATAGTTTACATTGGATAGGTTTTATTGTCTGATTTACAATGAAATCCTCTATATACTCCAAAACAATCAGAAAAATAATAATTGAAGCAAACTTATTTTGTGACAAATTCTAAACGGTGGGCACATACATCCACACGAATACACATGTACAAACATACAAATATACATACAGATACAAATACGTACACACATTTAGGAATTCAGCCTCTGCCATGACATTGACACTCTAATTCCTGCCTGATAAATCAAATAAATGCCCCTTTACCTTGTGTGTGTGGCAGACTTAACAAGTGGAGGCTCTGCCAATTTGTGTCCTTGGATGCAGGCATTCGGGGGTAAGGGTTACACCTCAGGTAGCCCTGCTGCCAGACAGACATAAATTTCCGTGACTTCTCGTGGAAGCATTTACCCAATTTTCTGTTTCTCCTCGTCCATTGCCATATGTGCCTTGGCTGGACCCAGGATGGAACTGGATTATGTGTCATTTCCGAAATCTTCATAGTATTGGTTTATAAGAAAACAAAGCATACACACAAGCACACACAAAAAATAAGGTATACTTAAGTGCTAGATAATTTTTTTATGTTTTATTCAATGGTGTAATTTCAAGATAATTTTACAGTTCTCCTTTAAATAAGATACTAGGTCAGCTTGGCAGTATCCAATTTATACTGGTGGTAATATTCAATTTTTTCTGGATTACATGAATTTGCATGTAAAGTTCTGGGTAGGCATCATTATTATGTTAACTTCTCACATAACGGATTACTTTTCCTCTTCAGCCAAATATGACAAAGATTATGAACTGCTATGTCCAGACAATACCAGGAAACCTCTTGCAGACTACAAATCCTGCAACTTGGCTAGAGTTCCAGCCCATGCTGTGATTACAAGGGACAACGATCCAAAGACTCCAGACATCAAAGAATATCTCAAACAAGCGCAGGTTACAATTACAATCCTTAACATTTGTGCCATATTTTAATGCAAGCTCAGGTTATGACTATACATAAAAGCCAATTTGGCCCAATCCCACAGTCCTCATACCCAATTTTTATTTTAGTAGGACCACTTACTGCCATTGGCTGACTGGAGGGTCCTTTTGAACTCCACATCTAGACTTTAGCTATTCGGTTGTGGTTGGAGTCTTGGCTTCCCCTCAATGCTTACCACTGAGGTGGCTACTGACTCATATAAAAAAGAAAATGTCTCAGATAAGTGTCCTTCTCAGAAATTATGAATCTGGCTGTGCTGGAAGTCAGTTAAATAGATCTTCTACATCGAGAGATGTTCCTATTCCAATCTATGAGATGTCTGTTTTTCAACCTGTTCAGTGAAACCTCTGAGTCCACCAAAGCTTGTGGTGTCCTTGGGATACTGCTCCATGAAACATTTTCAGGATTATGTACTTAACTGAAAATTGTAATTGAATTCAAAGTTAATTCAAAGTGAAATTCAAATTTAAGGCCAAAGTAGCTGAAATCAAAGCATAACTAACTTAAAGCAGCACTGTCACCACTCCCCAGCCCCTGTAAATTGAATATTTAATAATGATAAAACATTTAGGAAATGCTCATGTTGACTGTGTTGGAATTTCACTGAAATTCCAACCAAGTCAGAAGATATACTGAGGCAAAGTAGGGACTTCTCAGTCTCAGTATGTTTCTACGCCTGACACTTCTAGACACTGGGTGGATCTACTGCCGTCTAGAAGTGTCAATCCCTCCAGCCATCACCAGTGATGGGTGCAAAAAATTGGCTCTGTCTATGGAGGATCCCGCAGTCTCGCGGGATCCTCCATAGATATTAATGCTCTGTTTTTACGAATGCAGAAGAGTAGTGCAGTGACATTGGCTCCTGACGCTTCACAGAGGTTGGAAGATGATGGTGGCACCACTCACAACAGGAATCCAACACAAAATGGCCAAGTTACCAAATTTGCAGGAAAATAGCACATATTTGCAAGACTAAGAACATAAATTTGTCACGTGAAATAAATTAGCACCAGAATTAACAGTTTATGTGTAGTTTTTGAGGAATAATTTCCAGTTTTTATTTGATTTTAGGAAAAGAAATGCAACCTATTCAGCTCCCCCTTTGGGAAGGATCTGATGTTCAAAGACTCAGCTGTGAATCTGATAGATCTCCCACCAGCCATGGACTCTTTGTTGTATATGGGAACTAAACATTACCGCGCTCTCCAGGCGCTCAGGCACGGTAGGCATCAACAATATTTGGAGGATCACACCAGGATTAAAAAAAAGTGTGAGGGGTTTATTGAAAGTGGGAATCAATTCAGCATTCATGTTTCAAGTAGAATCACAAAGAAAATCAGTGTTTTGTTGTGCTATGATTAAGAAAGTGACTTTAGCTGTTTGACCACAACTTAATTGGTTCGGAGTTGTCTAAAGATGATGCGAGTTGTAGTGCAGTAAGAGATAAAAATTCAGAGAGGCTCCATAGTGATCCCAAACATATGTTGTATGCATGATAACTAAGAAGTATATGAACCACGTGTGGCATTTAGCAGATAGAAACACATCAGTGGTCCGAGAATCCAGCTGCTGGACCAATGCTTGCTTCCTCCAAACTCTTTGCTTGAACTCTAAACTCACCCTGTTTTCTCACCATGAAGCTACACTATTTAGTAAATTATTTACTATTAGTAATTTGAAATCTTTTATTAATAATAGTATTTATATAGCTCCAATATTTTCCACAACACTTTAAGATTATAGAATTGGGGATATTTGACAAAACATAATTGACATGCACAATAATAATAGCATTAAAAAAGGGTAGCACACAAGCAAGCCTAAATCAGATGGATAGAACAAAGCTCAACGTGGAAGGTTAACATTTGGTGAATGACTACTCCCTCTAGTGGTAAATAAGAATACCATATACAGTATATAATAACACTGCAGCACACCATGTGTGTCAAAAAAAAAATATCTTTATTAATAAATCAATAACATAAAATAAGGTGTCACTATGATAAAGTGTTAAAGGTAATACCTTACCAGAAATGCACACATATATGAAACACATATGAGCCAGACTATATGAAAAGACTATGCACAGATAGGGATAGAGTCAAAATACTGCTGGTCCATAATAACAGTGTTACCTCCGGGTATGTATGTGGCAAGGCAGCAGGAGATCACAATTTTTCGGCAGGAAGCCTTTGTCAATAGAATTATATATGGGTTCTGATTTTTGGGTGTTGTATATATGTACATATGTGCATTTTTGGTAAGAGGTATCACCTTTAACACTTTATAATGTCAACAACCTTTTTACTGTATAGATGTATTAATAAAGATCCATTTTTGAACACATAGTGTGCTCAAGTATTAATATTATTATTATTATTTTTATTATAAATGTAAAATAATACGGGCAGAGAAAATATCTGAAGAAGGCCCTGCTCAACCAAGCTTATAATCTAAGGAGTTTTAGATGTTTATTTCTCTGAATCGAAAGAAAATTCAGCAACATCTCTGGCTCTCTTTCCACAGAGAAAAAAAAAGTAAAACCAAACACAATACGTTGGTGCACACAAAGCAAGCTTGAGAAGGAAAAGTGTGACAATTGGTCTACAGTAAGTGGTGGAGCCATTGAGTGCAGCGTGGGAACCTCTGCTGAAAATTGTATTCACCAGATTCTGGTAAGGGAGAATTTTTTTTTTTTGAAAGTGTGAATTTTTTTTGTCCATAATAAATAAAGATGTCTTTTCTTCACGATACCCCCAGTGTTCTCCCATCACAGATAATTATCATTATTTTTGCTCACTAAGCACAGCATTGTAATGGATTGATAGTGGAGTAGCAATATTGGCAGTTATGAAATTGGGAGAGGGCTGGGGTTGGCAATGGCATTGCTGGATAATGGGCATGCTCGTACACATTTAGTTTTAATGACAATACACATGCCCGTAAAGGGGTGCATCATCCAGTGACGCATATGCATGAGATTGAAATGCTTCCCATAGACTGAACACTGCTGTAACACTCACATATGGACACAAATGCCTTAATATTCTCTCCAAGTGCAGATATATTAATGCATTTTCTCTCAGTCCACCTAACACCAAATGACAGGATCAGATTACTAAAAAATAATAGAAAATCACATTTCACCTGCCATGTGACTTGACACGTTCATAGTCTAAAGCAGGGATGCCCAAAAGGTAGATCCCCAGATTTTTTTTAAACTACAAAGCAAAGCATCATGTAGTGCTACAACATCTGGGGATCTACCTTTTGGGCACCCCTGGGCTAAAGTATCTGAAATGAAGATATTTTTTCCAAGTGGCTAGTTTGGTATAACATTTGAGATTCTCTTTTTACTGCTCCTCAGTTCCCAATTTTATGAATGAACACTGCAGCGTTTCCTATTCATTCATTTAATTTTATAAAAACGGCTCTTTGAAAGCCAGCTAATTTTACTCACAAGGGCACTTTCTTTTCTCCCACATTTCAAGAACAAGTTTTTTTTCCTGGGCCTGTATCTGATCACCCGTCACAGGTAAATGAAGGGAACAGATAAATAAGGAAATCATTTTATAGTCCACATAGGAAAGAATGTAAGCTCTGTTGGTCAGACTGAAATGATAAAATGATAGGAAATTGCAGTCTTTTTAGATCATGCTCGCTGATCTTAAGAGGGACTGCACAGATTTTTGTCCAGGATTCATATATATCTCATAATAGATTTGTTTTATTGCTTTACTGCCTGAATTCTTGTCTTTACAGAAGAGTGAAGCTGATGCAGTGACATTGGACGGAGGATACATGTACACAGCAGGGGCATGTGGATTGGTACCGGTAATGGGAGAATATTACGATGCAGGTATGGGAACCCATTCTCACGTAAAGTTTTCACTACCATGCAGCCCTTTTAGATTTAAGAAACACTCCAAGCACCATAACCACTACAGCACACTGTATTAGTTATGGTGCCAGGAGACTCCCCTTCCCCTTTGTAAGTAGTCAAACAATTCTAGAATAGTTTAATTTCTTTGATGGGGTGTTTTGGGAGCCCATCTCCTACTTTACTTTCTCAGCCAGAGAGCTGGAAGTTTCTGCTTAGGAGCTGCTATTGTAGGATAAGATTTTTGGCTTATGGCATCAGATGATCACTCTCAACCAGTGCGCTAAGCCCTGCACCGCCAGACTTAGCTCATACAGTGAGTTTCTAGCTCTCTAGCTGATGTGGGGAAGGCACCTTGAGGACCCTACTTAGGAAGTCAAACATTCCTAAAACAGTTTAGTGCCTACCATGTGATGGCGGACAGGGCACACTTATAAATAAATCTACAAGTCGGCAATATTTTCAGCTTGCCTGAAATAACCCCAAAGGTGTTGATTCATTGAAAAGTGAGTTATGGCAAGTTTTAAAATGAAGACCAAAGCAAATGTTTTGGGGACATTCTTCAACTTTGCTATTTTTGTCTAAATTTTCCAACTATTTGCTATTTAACAACCAATCACCTCAACTCAAAGGTTAGTTAAAACATTCAATAAATTCCAGTATATATCAGAATACGGTTTCCCAAGGGAAAATTTTAGAAAAGCTACCAGAAATGTCAAGCCACAATCTTAATCTTCTGATATTCCTTGCTTCTTCCAGAAACTACAAATTCATTATTTTCCCATGACCAGTAAGGGCTATTGACCGAACACCAAATTTCTAATCAAAGGCTAAATTCTATTATAAGAGATAAGCGTATTTCTTGTAATTGAATAGAAGTTGGCTCATAACTCTCCATGCAGCCAATCCTTCTCTGGTGACATCACTCCCCTTACTGCAGAGGGAGGGATGTCCCAGAAGAGAAATTAATTGAGAACCTGGGCAGCATGGGGGGGCATGCTCCCATTGTCTGACACCAACATTCTATGCTGGTCCGCACACAATTATCTAAATCCTCATGGGAAGGATTTTGATTCACTTGTATGCTTCATTTTTCTTTTCAGAAGATCAAACACCATGCAAGTCAAAGTCCACAAAAACAAAAGGTACATGCATTTACTACATTATTTTATATTGCCTTTGTATTTGCACAACATGGTGAGGATATTGAAACATTGAATGTGACGGCAGATAAGAACCATTCATCCCATCTAGTCTGCCCAATTTTCTAAATACTTTCATTAGTCCCTGGCCTTATCTTATAGTTAGGATAGCCTTATGCCTATCCCACGCATACTTAAACTCCTTTACTGTGTTAATCTCTACCACTTCAGCTGGAAGGCTATTCCATGCATCCACTACCCTCTCAGTAAAGTAATAATTCCTGATAGTATTTTTAAACCTTTGTCCCTCTAATTTAAGACTATGTCCTCTTGTTGTGGTAGTTTTTCTTCTTTTAAATATAGTCTCCTCCTTTACTGTGTTGATTCCCTTTATATATTTAAATGTTTCTATCATATCCCCCCTGTCTCGTCTTTCCTCCAAGCTATACATGTTAAGATCCTTTAACCTTTCCTGGTAAGTTTTATCCCGCAATCCATGAACCAGTTTAGTAGCCCTTCTCTGAACCCTCTCTAAGGTATCAATATCCTTCTGAAGATACGGTCTCCAGTACTGTGTACAATACTCCAAGTGAGGTCTCACCAGTGTTCTGTACAATGGCATGAGCACTTCCCTCTTTCTACTGCTAATACCTCTCCCTATACAACCAAGCATTCTGCTAGCATTTCCTGCTGCTCTATTACATTGTCTGCCTACCTTTAAGTCATCAGAAATAATTACTCCTAAATCGCTCTCTTCAGATGAAAATGAGAAAGTGGTGAGAGCACTCAGTAAATATAAATAAAAATATTACCAATATTGGCATAGATCCATTCCAATAAAATGTAGAAAATTAAATACCGTTGGAAACTATATGCCCTAATATTCTCTCCAAGTGCAGATATATTAACGTATTTTCTCTCAGTCCACCTAACACCGAATGACAGGATCAGATTACTAAAAAATAAATGGAAAATCACGTGTCACCTGTGACTTGACACGTTCATAGTCTAAAGCAGGGTTGCCCAAAAGGTAGATCCCCAGATGTTTTAATACTACAAAGCAAAGCATCATGTAGTGCTACAACATCTGGGGATCTACCTTTTGGGCACCCCTGGGCTAAAGTATCTGAAATGAAGATATTTTTTATTAACTGGGGGACAGCCAATGACGTCACATTCTCTTCCTCCCCAGGTTCAATTTGTTGCACTTTATGTGTGTGTTTAGTGATCCACACAGGTGATAGTAGCACCAATTTTTCACGAGTTCCAACATTTGTATTTTTATTCCCCTTCCTCAGATGTTGAGGTTAGGACTCTACCAAATATTCTGTACTCTGCCCTTGGGTTTTTACATCCAAGGTGCAGTATCTTGCGCTTATCCACATTAAATGTCAGTTGCCACAATTCTGACCATTTTTCTAGTTTACCTAAATCATTTGTCATTTGGCTTATCCCTCCTGGAACATCAACCCTGTTACATATCTTAGTATCATCAGCAAAAAGACATAACTTACCATCAAGACCTTCTGCAATATCACTAATAAAAACATTAAATAGAATGGGTCCAAGTACAGAGAATGGATAGTTTATATATTTAAAATATATTATTATGAAGTTTAATAATGCTATGTTTAAAGGTATGCACATGTGAGACTATGCGAACATTAATCAATGTGCTTGATTTTTTTTTAATTATGCATTCAATTAAAGTGACTCTCTAAGAACCATGATAATTACAGCTTAGTAGCTCTGGTAAAAAGAGTCTGTCCCTGCAGGATAACAATTGTAAACACTTCCTTTTCTGAGTACATTTGATCACTAAGCCACTAGAGGCCCTTCCTAGTGTGGTCCTCCAAACCTTGAAGGACCAACATTCGACAGTGCCAATTACTCTCTATAAAGGTGTTCTGATCTAATGCACCTGTATGAAAAAATGCTGATTGGCACAGTGCAGTGATTGGCAGTCATGTACACAAGCCCCTCCAATGCTTATCTTTGGGGTAGCAATGAGTTGGCTGAGATCATCAGTAACGATCATCTTAGCTAAGGGATGATTGGCGACTGTGGCGAGACCTGCATGCTGGGAGATAGAAGGTAAATAAAACTATTTATTTAACCATTTAAGAGGGGTGTGTAATAAACCACCCCATACATCAGTCTTCTGTTAGGAAAACATGTTTGTATTTATAGTGCTCGAGTGTTCCGTTAACTCTGATTCTGAACAAGAGTTAAATGTAAATATAGTATTTATACTTATACCATTCAATATTTTGAAGATGAAGAGGCAGCAGTTTTTGGAGTGTTGTTTCTTTTGTATATATTATATTTATAAAATAGCTAAAATAAGTATTTTCCTCTCCCCAAGGCACATATGTCGCTGTAGCTGTGGTTAAAGCAAAAGACAAAGATATCACATGGAACAATCTTAAAGGCAAGAAGTCATGTCACACTGCCAAGGATCGCACAGCTGGCTGGGTCATTCCTGTTGGCCTTATTGTTAATGAAACCAAAAACTGTGATATAGGTGAGTATATGCTACAATGCTGGGTACTATGATACTGGTGCTTAAAGGGATACCATAGAAACAAAATACATACAAAAAGATACTCAGCTTCAAAGTTCCTGCTGCTTCTGGTTACACGGGGCAAACAGGAGCAGCAGGCAGTCCCCTCAAATGGCAGGAAGAGATTTTACTAACCCAGAGTTTCTCATTCTAGTCTATTTTTATTAGTTCCATAAGATTTATGGGGCATGTAGTTTATCCCCTCAGCCACATTTCCACAAATGACGAGTGGGATTGCACTATAAGTGGAGAGTTTGGAATCTGATTGATTGATTGATTGATTGCTTCTGTGGACAGGTGTCTTTTATACAGGTAACGAGCTGAGATTAGGAGCACTCCCTTTAACCCCTGAAGGACCAAACTTCTGTAATAAAAGGGAATCATGACATGTCACACATTTCATGTGTCCTTAAGGGGTTAAGAGAATGCTCCTAATCTCAGCTTGTTACCTGTATAAAAGACACCTGGGAGCCAGAAATCTTACTGATTGATAGGGTATTAAATACTTATTTCACTCATTGAAATGCAAATCAATATATAACTTTTTTGACATGTGTTTTTCTGGATTTTTTTTTTTTTGTTATTCTGTCTCTCATTCAAAATCAGCAGGGGATCAAATACTTTTTTCCCTCATTTTACACACACACTCTGATACACACACATGCATACACATACAAACACACTGATGCACAGAGACACACACACTGACAAATCCAAACATACTGTCACAATGTGTATCTCGCTGTGTGCATTCCTGTGTGTGGCATTGTCTATCTGTGTAAGTGCCTGAAAGTGTGTGTCTGACAGAGTGTGCTGTTGAGCATGTGTCTAGGACTGTATGTTTTTGGGGTAGCTGCTTGCTGTGTGTATGGGGGCTGACTGTGGCCTGTGGACTGTGTCCATTGTGTTATGGCAAAGCTGTTTCATGACTGTGAGTGTATGATGAATGTATGATGAATGTATTCAGCTGACCTGACAAGTCATTCTGCCCTATGGCAACGTAGGCGGCCGCGAGGCCTTAGGCAGCCGTCTAAATCACCTAATTAGGGAGCCGCCTCCACAGAAGAGTGGAAAACAGGTGGGTCATTTACACAGTTTTAGGTGCAGTATGATACCAGTGAGTAAATTATACAGGGATATGTGATATTGGTGGATAAGCCATACAGTGATGGGTAGAGTAATATTGTTGAGCAACGAGAATAGAGCACAGTGCTTAATGGAGTGCTCATGAAAGAGTGCAAAAGAAGAGAGTATGTTGCAGTGCATAGTGGAATTAATATTTTAATTGTAGAGAATATAATCATAGCCTGATTACCCGTTAGGCTACCAAGAGAAGATCAAGAGATTTTTCTGCACGGACCTGCGCTACCTTACTTCACAGAGGGAGCACTAACGTCTGTTATTATTTAGTTGTCTGGATGAGAGGGGGCAGGGATTATTTATAATGGCCTTTAACTTGCATAACTAATCAGTGATAATACCTAATAGACATCAAAACACATTTGCTTAATGAAGCAGTTTTGGTTTATAGCTCAATTGTCTGCTCAATTCTCTTCCATTTAGGAGTTAAATCACTTTTTTTATGCAGACCTAGTCACACCTCCCTTCCTGTAAAGGGAGATCTAAAGTTTACCTTTCCTTTATTGCACAGTCTGTTTAATTTATATTCATTATCATCTCCACTGTTAATAATAGACCTTGCAGGAACATCCTGTGTGTGATTAAAGTTCAATCTACAGAGCAGGGGATAAATACTTCTAAAGTAAGTAAATATCTGATTAAAAATTAAATCAATTTTTCATGCAGTTTGTGTGAGTCACAGCCAGGAATGGTGTGGCTAAAGCTGATAAACAGAAACAAAAGTTATTTAACTCCTAAGTAGCAGAGAATTGAGCAGGGAGACTGCAGAGGCATGATCTATTCAGAAAAAAAAAATGCTTTTTTAAGCTAAAGTTGTTAAGTGACTATAGTGTCCCTTTAATACTTCTTTTCTTTTTTTATAACAGGTAGTTATTTTAGTGAAAGCTGTGCTCCTGGATCTGATGTCAATTCAAACCTGTGCAAGTTGTGTGTCGGTGATCCTAAAAAAAAACTGGAAAATACAAAATGTTCTCCAAGTACCAGAGAGGAATACTATGGATATGAAGGGGCATTCAGGTATAATAAACTAGTCTAAAAAAATGAAACTTGTCATCTACTAAATTCACATTGTAGAAACTTGATGAGAGTTGTATACAGATATAAATATAACCATTTAAGTATCAGCACACAGTTTGATAGCTACATGAAATCATGTGTCAAGTCAAAACACATCAAAAAGAATGTTTCATTAGTTAACAGGTTATTGTGCCACATTGCACATAGCCTTTATCACACAGCACACATTTATTGCACTTTCTGTATGCAGAGTATAGAACTTGACACAAAAATGAGACAGAGCTTACATGTATCTTCTGATATGTAGCTTACATATCTTCTTCTAATACCAGATGCCTTGTTAAAGGTGGCGGTGATGTATGTTTTGTGAAGGGCAGCACAGTACCGGACAACACAGATGGTAAGCAGATCTGTCAAAATGCATATATACTAGAAAATGACCACACTCTTTCTGTTATCTTACAATTTATGGCATTGTCTAACCTTTCATTTATCATCCTGGGTTGTGGGATAGTTACTATTGCACTATTAATATACTACAATAGAATTGACAGAGTTTAGGGTGGAATGAGAGCTAAAAAAAAAACCATGCTTCCGGACAGAATCTGTTACACAACCCTCCAGTTCAATCTGATCCAAGCTGTACTTAAAAATGTTAGGCTTCAAAAATACTGGTTCATTGGGAGTTGATCAATCACATTTGAATCAATATTTACTTCTGAAACCTTTTTAAATTATACTAGCTAAAGAAAATCGGTAATAATTCTAATATATGCACATATGTGGCATAGAAATTAGGGTTAGAACACAGTTCTTTCTAATTCAGTAATTGTTTTTTTGACAGGGGCCCAAATGTTGTACATTAGTTTTGTAGTAATTTCTAAAATTAGCTCCGTTAACAATCTTTTATTATATGTTATCCAAAAAAATGAATTTCTTCATCACATTCTTCCCAGTGTTATAGCGGGAGAGGCTGCTACAATAATTCAACTTATTATGAGTAGTTGCCTGGGGCAAGATAACTGTGAAGTGCCAGCTCAAACCAATGGACACTTGACTTGGGCACTTAAGAAATTTTCGTTGATGAAAAAAAAATTATTTTCATTAGAACCGAATTCCATCCACTAACTTATTTGTTTTCGAAAGTAATTCGGACATTATTTTTGTTTTGAAGCTCCCATTTGTTCATTTGGTGCGATTGGAATTGCACCAAATCAATTGCAGAGTCAAACAGAGATTCCCTAAAGACCAAATGTACTCATTCATTCAATGCGCATTTGTTCGACCTGTATACCTGTAATAATATATGATGAGAGCAAGCCAATAGAGGGGGTCAAGAACCACTACTTAAATGAATGTAGTTTCATTACAAAGTGCTTGCATGACAACATTACATCAAAACAAATGATAGGTGAAAGTTTAAATGAAATAACTAATTAGCATTCATTATCAAGCATCCCTAAGCATTATTATCATCAGCAAATAATCTTTCAAGTCTAGGTAGACATAAAAGAATTGCAGATAATGCTAATTGTATTTTTTTTTCAGTTGGGAAGACAGTAATTTAGTTTGTGCCTGAACTGTAAAACTTGCCCTGATATTTTAAAACCCCCTTAAAGTACTGGGCAGGTGATCTATACCATCCATAATACTTTATCAATTGACTGTACTTGGAATACATCACATACAGTTTTCATCTAGTTAAATAGTTTGCACCCCTACCATGGAAGGGCTCAAATGGTGATATAAATTATCTCAGTCAGTTCTATGCTTTCCCATAGTAAGGCTTTGGGTGCCTAGTATGCATTCAGGTCAGATGGTGTCTGAGTTTCACTCGGCTATTTCTGCTAAAGCACCTCCAGTGGCTGTCAGAACAGCAATGTTGAAACAAGGGGGCCATGGTAATCAGACCACTTTATTGAGATGTAGTGGTTTGGTTGCCTTAGTGGGTCCCTTTATGAGCGAATAATGCATTACATGGAATGCAAATGTGTCATCTTGTGTGGTTCACTCCTTATAGGCAAAGGCACTGCAGAGTGGACAAAGGGCCTGAAGTCAACAGATTATGAGCTATTGTGCCCTGATGGCACCCGTGCCCCAATAAGCGATTACAAGAAATGCAATCTTGCTGAAGTTCCAGCTCATGCTGTTGTTACCAGACCAGAAAGGCGTAAAGATGTTAAAAGAATAGTGGATAATCAGCAGGTAAGAGGTAAAGCAAAGATACTGTAAACTATGCAGGTTGTCAGCATCACATGTTTAAAATGTATATCAAGGTATGTGGCAATTGTTTTTACATTTTTGGTTGTATGCATTTACATAATAGTTATACCACTGGCACCCTGAGTGTGTGGTAACAGTACATAGACACACACAACTGCATTCAAATGCAAGTATAACAGACAAATATACCCCTACATTTACATACACATCCGCTACACAAAAACCTGCTTGCATATGAACACATAAAAACTGATTGAAAATACAAGGGTAGGTAAATGATAGATCTCCAGCTGGCAAGGAATTGTGGGAGATGTACGAAAAGTGGGAACCTACCCTTTAACCACCATTGAGCTTGAATAGGCCACTATCATATATTCTTGCAGACGGGGCCCTCTTTAAATTAGTTACACCACTAGTGACAGCAACAGGGAAGGTACTACCTTAAGGCAGCACAGGCCTTAGAGTGCCTCAGCCAGGGGGTTGCAAAACTCACTCCAGCTGGCCGGCCCATGCAGAGGTTGCTGTGTCCATTCAAACACAGGACCAGAGTTGCCCCAGTATGGCACAACAACCTTGGGGATGAAAGGAGGAGGGATGATAGGGTGAGGTGGAGAAGTGGCTGTGATAGCAAAAAGCTAAATCTGCCTATCCTTGATGATGTGCCATCAGTATTCCCCCTATATAAGTCCTCCAGCCCACAGTGCAAACTGTTTTCAGTTCTGCTGCAAAATTTCAAAGTATACAATGATATAGTTATTATTTGTATTCCTAGTTCTGACACTCTGATACTCTAAGATGTATGTGTATACTGTTACTGTAGTGGTCATGATGTCTGGAATGTTATGATTGGTCAGTTTTCTTATTTCATGAAATTTACACCTGAACATTATAAATAGACTTTTTTAGTTATGGTGATTTTGAGGGATTTTGAGTTATGGTGATATTTTGAGGGCAAACATAGTTTTACATTTTGCATCAAATATGCCATTGATCCATAACATGGAAATTAAGAAAGCGACTCAAGCACACTAACACTGCTTATTTCCTTATTGCTTACCATGTTTCTGTATTTACAGTCTCTCTATGGACGCAAAGGATCCGAAACAGACATGTTCCAGATGTTCAGTTCCTCATCAGGGTCGAATCTTATCTTTAAGGATGGCACGCAGTGCTTGGTAGGATTTGATGACAAGACCACCATGAAAGATGTTCTTGGCGAGAGATATTACACAGCTGTGACAAACCTTAATAAATGCCCCTCAAAGTCAGGTAAACAATCAGAAAGCATCCTACGTTTTGAAACTGTATGTAAGAAATGATAACTCTATTACAAGGTGAAGGGAACACTATAGAGATATGAACACAAACATGTATTCCTGACCCTATAGTGTTAAACATACTATTGAGCCCCCATTGTCCCCTGTAGTAAAATTCACCTTATTTCCAGCGCTGCTTAGTTATTGATCTCAGCCAATCGCAATGCTTTCCATAGGAAAGCACTGTATTGGCTGATATTGTAAATTCTGATCATCTCAGCCAAGGAGGTGGGTTGGGGCAGAGCCAAATGCTGGCCTGGCCAATCAACAACTCCTCATAAACCAATGCATCTCTATGGGGAAAGTGCACAGTCTCCATGCAAGCGTGGAGACACTTAACATCAATTCTGCACAGTGCGCAGGAAGCACCTCCAGTAGCCATCTGAGGAGTGGCCAGTAGAGGTGTCTCTAGGCTGTAATGTAAATATTGCCTTTTCTCTGAAAAGGCAGTGTTAACAGCAAAAAGTCTGCAAGGACAGGCTATACTCACCAGAACAATTACATTAAGCTGTAGACAGTTGTTCTGGTGACTACAGTGTCACTTTAATTCTTTAGGGAATGAGGACAAATAAAATAAATAAGGGTATGTAAAAGTTAGATAGATAGACAGATATGGACTCTTAAATAAGTCTACTGTTACCATTTTGTCATAAGTAAAAAGATATAAACATTGTATTAAATCACTAAATAACACTATATAATGCAATACATTTTGATTTTCATTAGTTATAATTATTTATAGCTTTGCTGCTCCCTCTGTCCTCCATGCCTTGGCTGGTTACATTGCTGCCTCCCATGGTCAGCTAAAAAGGAACAAAATAACCATTTTTTCCAGTAGGTATGACTTTACAGGGCCACTAAATTCACCCATACAATTTTATCTCAATGAAGTTAACTAGGTGCAGTGGTCCTGGATATTTAATCGTTCAAGGTAAAAGTGCTGATTTTCAGAAATGTCTATCTTGAAGGGTAAAACACACCTATATTGGATGTTACACTGACAGCCTCTAGAGGCACTTTCACTATGCTGAACGAGTAAAACTTGTTCATGTGACGTGGCAGCTCATCGAAATTCATTGGATTCAAAGAGACAGAAAGCAGAACCCCTGTTGTAAGTGCTGTTTACATGTACTCAGGTCTCCCTAGTATTTAACTAGGATAACCCCTGGATCATGGTCAAAACTGTTTGTAAGTATGTAAGTGACCCTACATTGTACATCAGAGCCAGTTTTGTATATGACTACAAACTGCGTGACATTCTAGGGAGAAAGTGTCAGGTTACTCATATGGAAAGAGGGGGGTAACCCCCAGAATAAGTTAATTATAAGACAAAGGTGGGAATACCTGGGAAAACCATTTAGAAGATAAACCCTTGGTGGCAAAGAGTAACCCAAATAATAAATAAATAAAACATCACTTTTAATGTATTAATTAAAATATTCTAGGAAATCTTATCATGAATAAAATTAATATCATAGAAATAGGAAAAAAGAAAATCCTAAAGAGGTTGATTAATCCTTAGGAGGACTATGATGAATTAATCTGGGTTCCAATTTTCTGTTTAACAAAACTATATCAAAAATAAAAATCTAAACTAATACAGTGATCCCAAAAATAATAATAAGTGTAACAAATCTATGCGAAAAATATATACACAGGACAAAAAAAACCCAACAAATATATACAAATAGAAAAAGATTAGTTGTCACACCATACAAAGTTATATGAAACCAAAATGTAACAAGATGTAAATGTTACATTAGTATCATATCATATTAGCCAGGAGTAGAGTTCTACAATGTAACAGATAAGGAACAGAGCGGTGAACGTATCCTGCAGGTATATGTACACACCAAACCTATTAATATTGTATTGCATAATTATATCATAACCATATTAATATACAGATCACTAATACAGATAAAATACTTTTCAGAGATTGCATATGGTTAATTCTTACATATGTAACAGGATCCTGGTATATACAATTCTGGTGGGCTCATCTTGTCAGTGTCTTCTTATTCACTTTATCCCGTAATATTTAACAGAGTTGTTTAAACCTACTACTTACAGATTTTATGAGTTTTCTAAACCAGGAAGTAGATCACGGTTCACGTGTTAAAATGTAATTTCTATAAATACGATTATCTTATTTATGAAAGGAAAATTCAGCTAAAAAAATATTGGTAAAACCAAAAAATTATTTTAATTATTTATTTTTAAAAAAATGTGTCTTTACAGTATTTATGCCAAACACTACTATATAAAACCTCCAGGGTTTCTCATGAAATTTACACCTAAACATAATAAATAGACTTTTTTACAGTCAACGTATATAGGGATCCAAGGTTTATATCACAAAATCTGCCACCAAGTGGAAGGGAATCTATTGTGAGTACATGCATATAAATGTACACATGCAGTAATGCTTACACCAGTGAACATTTTTGCCCCTTCTGATAATAGTGCGCGTGCTGTTAGTTATCTGACTGATCAAACAATGCCCACATGAATAGGAATGATCATGTTGGCATAGCTATCATGTGGACACAATCTCTTGTCCAGGTTAAACAAGATGCTTAAAGTGCAGGCTGACGGTCTTAAAATGAAATTATCACGACAGGTTTACATGAGCATAAATCCCCTCCAAATGAACTACCCCAGAGATACATAATATATTCAATGTCAAATATAGCTTTAAATTCACCTCACTTTGGATCCAACACCACTATGCCCTCACTTTATTGGTGTTACTCTTCTGTAACATGCACCTCTGGTCCACCTGTGCTCTGTCTGATCTTTATTTGACACTTCCTTATGCAGGACAAACTTCCCCCGTGATAACAACGTGGTGGCTTCATTGCCTGTGTGCCAGCGTGTGAATGGAGTGATGCCAATTACTCCATTCCCATACTCCCAATCTACTGCTGGCAGCAACCACAGTGCCTATCAAGAGCATTAAATTAAACCACCATGGAGGAGGCCATGCCTCCTTAATGATGTTCGGGGACTTGGAGAGGTGAGAAGTACCAAGGGACGCTCAGCAAGGGATATTTTTATGGCACACGGGGGGGGGGGCCGGGACCTATACAGAACTTAGGACATGGACACTAGGAATACAGGTTTGTTTTAATAACATGCCACACATAAAGGTCTAGCAAAAAACATAACAGAAAAGGAATGAAAACTTCTAAATTAAACACCATAAAGAAAGTTTTAATATAGGAAGTTTTGCATAAACAAAGTGATTTAGCTCTTAAATGGCAGGAAACAGAGTAGTGAGACTATACAAGCATGATCTATACACCAATGCCACTTCATGAGCTAAAGTTGTTGTGGTACTTAGAGTGTGCCTTTAAGATAAGCAAAAAAACATGTCAGTTGTAGTGTGATTTTAATTTTGTAATGCTTTGGTTTTATGTCACAGGTGTGCTCCAGTGCTGTAAAGGAAATATTATGATATAATAATTTTAATTCAATTATTATGTTGTTTTTTTTTTTTTTTTACAGCGCTACTGTCTGCTTGCACTTTCCATAGGTGTTAAAGAGCTGCAGCATTGAAGATCATTTAATCTAATGTCCAACTCATTTACTTTTTCATTTCATTTTTCGTTTCTCTACAAAAAATAAATCTGTCGATCTAGTATTACATCATGTTTGCTTCTTATAATAAAAAATTAAATCTCTTGGATTTTGTTGGCTTAATCAATATTAAAACTAACCATTGCAAAGGTTGGGTAATAAACAAGTATTAAATAGTTGGGATGTAATCATTGCAAAGTGTGAAGATAAGGTAAGCTAATCTATAAGTGATAAAGGTAACCAAGAGAAGGATTTAAAATGTAGATTGAGGAAAGGGATACAGAAAGCAAGACAATCAATAGTTAATTCATGAATTGTTTTTGTTTTTTTGATTGAAGACAAGGTCATAAAATGTGTTTTGGTGAAACCTTGATAGGAAAGTTAAAAGTTAAGGGGCCCTGTGATATATAAAGATAGTTTTAGCAATGCCTTGTGAAGTAAATTGGAACACAATGGATTCTAACTATACCCCCTCCCCCTCTCCACCCCTCCTCCCTCCCCAAAGTAAAATGTAGAATATTCAGGTTCTTCAGAATTCAGCTAAATGTTAAAAAAAATATTCCAAATATGAGACAGATAAATCAATACAGGCGTATGGGGGGAAACCAGACAGATCAAACTACTGGACAAGTTTTACTCCTGTAAAAATAGTACCTTGTCCCATTTCCACCACAGCTTGAAAACCTCTATCATGGGTTTTCAGAAAACAAATTACACTTAGCCAATGACACTCATTCTCTGTTTAAAGCCCTGACATGTTGGCTGGTATTTACAGATCTCCGTAACTAAGGTTCCAACTACATTATGGACATTTTGATCTAGCACACTCCCAATTGATCAAGAAACTAATTAAAGTTCACAAGTTACATGGTACACACAGTTTAAACAGGCATATACCATCTCATCGCAGCTGATGGTTATATAACTGACTGACAGTTTTATGTCACCTGTAACCATACCGCTTACTCATTCATGGGTTCCAATTGATGCCTAGGCTGACTGAATTTAAAGGGAAACTATAATGCCAGGAAAACAAAGTTATTTTCCTGGCATTATATCTCCCTATAGTGCCCCCACCCTCCCCATGTTGAATAAGGGGTTAAAAACGGATTCTGTCACTTACCCCAGTCTAACGCCGATGTCAGTCGCTCTTGCATTAGGGTTTTCCCCATACGAAAGAATTGTACAATGTTTTCCGATGGGGATTCAGGTGACGCTGGCCATCCTCATGCATATCGTGAGGATGTCCAGCATCAGGTGACCAAAAGTCGCGTAATGACCCACAATATTCCTCTAATGGCTGTCAGGAGAGCTAACGGAAAGTGAAACAGAGAGGGAAGAAAAAGAAAGGGTACAGAGAAGTGGTGGCTTGCCCTATCATTGCAGATGAGTGTGAATTACATTTTCTGTCAAGGAAAAGTTTACAAACACTTGTAATGCATATCAGTATTATTGAGTGACTATGAGAGGAATTTAATGGAAAGGGGAAAAAAAGAAATGATAGATGATAAACAAAAGAGGGGCAAACAATAAAACAAATATTAAAAAAACAATAAATATATTAATGTACATATGTGTCAGTTTCGAGAGAATAAAAACCATTGCTTAGAATAGAAGCAAGCATCTGTGAATATTAGTGAATTCCTTATAATAACCAAGTAAAGTGAGGGATATATGTTTATCTTTGTTAGGATTGGACCCTTGAGCTGCAGAGCTGGAACCAGATTGCAGGTAGACTATTATAACACCAAGTTCGCACCAACAGTATCATGCATCCTTGATGTGCTATAGATACATTTGCAGCACAGCATCTATATCAGGCAGGTACATTTTATCACTTTTAGGTGAGTTGGGTATCAGTGGTGACACTGTCAGTACAAGTACAAATATAGAAATACATTGTGCAGAAGTGCTTCAGTCAGAGAGCTGTGTTTATATCATAGAACATACATTAGTTCCCGAAAATAATTAAATTGGGGAGCGAATATAGTAAAAAAAAAACAAAAAAAAAAACAGACTGAAAATAGGAATAGGAAAAGTATTTACAGACTGGAATTAAAAAGAGAAATGGGAGCAAAAGTAAAACATGCATATATTCCATTAGCCCCTTTTAATGCCACTAATTCAACATGTTAAATATCTCAAATTGAGGCTTCAGTCACCATTCCACTGCTTCTGATTCTTCTAGTTCCTGGAGTCTGCAGATATTATACATGTATAATACAGAGAACAGCACTATACAGGGAGCCCTGATTTTCCCAGGATATTATACACAGAGACCTCTATTTTACATAGAGCAGCACTATACAGGGAGCAATGACTGTCCTGGGATATTACATACACCGACCTGTATAAAACAGGGAGCAGCACTATACAGGAAACACTGACTGTCCTGGGATATTATACACACAGACCTTTATTATACAGAGAGCAGCACTATAGAGGGAGCACTGACTTGCCCAGGATATTATACATACACATACCTGTACTATACAGAAAGCAGCACTATAAGGGGGCACTGACTATTCTGGGATATTATACACACACAGATCTGTACTATACCGAGAGCAGCACTATACAGGGAGCACTGACTGTCCCAGGATATTATACACACACAGGCCTGTACTATACATAGTGCAACACTATACAGGGAGCACGGATTGTTCCAGGATATTATACACACACAGACCTGTATTATACAGAGAGCCACACTATACAGGTAGCACTGACTGCCTTGGGATATTATACACACACATACCTGTACTATACAGAAAGCAGCACTATAAGGGGGCACTGACTATTCTGGGATATTATACACACACAGATCTGTACTATACAGAGAGCAGCATTATACAGGGAGCACTGACTGTCCCAGGATATTATACACACACAGGCCTGTACTATACATAGTGCAACACTATACAGGGAGCACGGATTGTTCCAGGATATTATACACACACAGACCTGTATTATACAAAGAGCCACACTATACAGGTAGCACTGACTGCCTTGGGATATTATACACACACACAGACCTCTATTATGCAGAGAACAGCAATATACAAGGAGCACTGACTGTCCCAGGATATTATACACACACACAGGCCTGTATTATACAGAGAGCAACACTATACAGGGAGCACTGACTGTTCCAGGATATCATACACACATACCTGTATTATACAGAGAGCCACACTATACATGTAGCACTGACTGTCCTGGGATATTATACACACACACACACACATACACGTATAATACCGAGAGCAGCACTATACAGGGAGCACTGACTATTCTGGGATATTATACACACACAGAGACCTGTATTATACAGAGAACAGCAACATACAAGGAGCACTGACTGTCCCAGGATATTATACATACATGCCTGTATTATACAGAGAGCAGAACTATACATGGAGCACTGACTGGCCCAGGGTATTATACACACAAACTTGTATTATACAGAGAGCAGCACTATACAGGGAGCACTGACTGTCCCAGGATATTATACACACAGACTTGTATTATACAGAGAGCAGCACTATACAGGGAGCACTGACTGTCCCAGGATATTATACACACAGACTTGTATTATACAGAGAGCAGCACTATAGTATTATACAGATAGCTGAGCATATACCCCATGTCCCAATCTCTAGGCTACTAGTACCTGTCAACAGCAGCTCCCAGACGCGTGTAACAGGGCTGGGCAATGCAGGCTTAAGTGTGCGGCAGCTCACACAGGTGTTTCGGCGGTAAAGCGCACACACACTGGCAGGGCCGGACTGGGAATACAAAGCAGCCCTGGAAAAAAATGTAGGCTGGCCCTATAAGTCATTTTATATATATAATATACAGGTATACAGTAAGCACACAAGCTCACTGATACACAGGCTCAAAAGCAGAAAGGTTCACTGACACAAATCACAAACTCTCTGATACACACATATAGGCTCACTGACAGACAAAACTCTCTGACTCACACACAAGCTTACTAGAGACAAGCTCACTGACACACACATGCTCACTAAATACAGGTTCACTGACACACAAGCTCACTGACACACA